GATCCAGTAGTAACTTGGTGCATCCGGGAAATGCAGGAGAAATGCCCCGGAGCTCCACGTCCAAGGTCATCCTGGCTGTTTATGGGATCTCCTCGAAATTACTTTCCCTTTTTAGGCTTCAGTTCCTTATCTATAAAATGTGAATAAAAGTAATAGTAGATCCCTCCTGAGTTTCTTGTGAAATTAAATGTAATAATCTACATAAATTGCTTAGACGAGTGCCTGGTCTATGGTAAAGCTCAATAGACTTTAAATATTATTTTAGACATTACACATTATTTCTGCATAAATATGAATGAAGTTGATTTGGTTCAATTTATACAAAGAGGCATTTAATCAAAATCTGTTTTATCTGAGTAAATCCATTATATAAGTGGGTTTCCTTTTCATTATGCTAAAGAAGATCCCCCAAGGCATTCCATATATACAGGAGTCCTCTGGTCACTACATTTTGTTCTACCAGGGAGAAAAAATATCCCCTCAACAGGCCTTTAGAAGGTCCTGCTACTAATCTACGTAAGATACACTCAGACACCTAGGGTAAAGAATCACCCACTTACAGTGCCTCACTGCTGCTTGAGGATAATACTTTGATACATGAAAAGTTCTTTAAGCACAAACACACTCCATGAAGTTTTCCAAGGGACTATGAAGAGGAAATATTTTTATTTAGCTGAAAACTCTTAGCTCATCACAGGTTTGTATGGTGTCCAATTTCTCCTTCTAAAAATTAGGCTCCAGCAGGTAAACTGGGTCCTGCAGAGCAGTGCTCCAACAGAGAGGATTAGGTACCGATCCCCATATCCATCCTCCATTTCTTTAGAAGAGAAGCCCCGGTGTTTAGATACTCAGCTAGACATGGTCTGCACATTCTAGTCAGCGAGCTCTAAGACAAAGTGTCATGTGTCCACGATGGCAGGGATGGCAGTTAAACAAAGGCTCAGCAAGATGGACTTTCACTCACAAAGGCTGGCCCAGGTATCTGGCAGCAGTGAGTACACTGAGTCCCCAAATGGCACCGTTACCTGGAGTGATCAGCCAGCTTTCTAGGGCCAGGTTGATTACAGTCCAGCTTTCTAGTGGCAGGTTGATTACAGTGGACCACTTTCATCATGGACGAGGCAACACGTTTTTACTGGAAGAAACACTTACTCTGGATATGGGTTTGTCTTCCCGGAATGCAATGCTTCTGTTAAAACTGTCACATGTGGACTTATAGAATGTCTTATCCACTGTCATGGTATGCCACACAGCACTTCTGGTCAAGGAACTCAGTTGACAGCAAATGACGTGAGGCCAAGGAACCCGTGCTCACCCAATCCACTGGTGTTACCAGGTTACCCACCATCCTGAAGCAGCAGGCTTGACCCGCAGAAATGGAGAACACGCAAAGGTGTGGCTGGAAAATTATTTGATAAAGAGATAACCGGTGAGACTCGTGGTTTTAATCAGCCATTTCAGCAGAAGCCAGGAATAGAGACGGGATTATACCAGCAGGGACCAGGGGGAACAGAGGCAGGATGAAATGAAGGGAGGCTGTCAGAATTCTGAGATTCTGCAGGATGGGACTGTAGAACTAACTCTCTGGCTGCTACCACGCATTATCGTGGGTGATTCAGAAATGAGCAGAGCTGCCACTGACACCACAGACCTGCGAGGTAAAGCCATCTCCTCCTGTTTCAGAGAGCAAGGCAGTCTTATTCTCATTTTCACTGGACCACACTGACTCAAACAAGGGTCTCAGGGGCAAGGCCATCACTCCAAGCCTCAGAGGCTGGTGCTGCCACCCAGAGTCACGCCCTCCCAGGCCTGGGGAACGCCGAGGATGGAGCCACAGAGGATATTCTTGAGCCATAAGACCTAATGGGGAAAAAAGATCTAATGGAATTTGCCTTGCTAGGTCTTGGACTTAATTAAACCCGAAAACCCTTTTGTCTTTCCACTTTCTCCCTTTTAGAATGGGAATGTCTGTCCTACGCCTGTCCATTATGTTTTGGAAGCACATGACTTGTCTGGTTTCACAGATTCACAGATTCACAGCTGTAGAAGGATTTGACTCAAAATGAGTCGTGGTTTGGTTCTCACCCACGCCTGATTGGGATAATATTAGATGAGACTTTGGACCTAGAGTTGGTGCTGGAATGGGGGCTGCTGGGATGGGGTGAATGTTTTTGCATGTGAGAAGGACATGAAGTTTGGGGGACCAGCAGGCAGAATGCTATGGACTGAAATCTCTCCCCTCAAAATTCCTAAGTTGAAGCCCTAATGTCCAGTGTCACTATATTTGGATATAGGGCCTTTAAGGAGGTCATAAAGGTTAAAGGAGGTCATAAAGATAGGTCCTAATCCAGTATTCTGGTGTCGTCATAGGACAGAGAGGGGCATCAGGAGCCAACACACAGAGAAAAGACCATGTGAGGACACAGCAAAAAGACAGCCGCCTGCAAGACCAGAAGAGGCCTCAGGAGAAATCCACCTGCCAGCACCTTGATATTGGACTTCCCACCTCCAGAACTGTGAGAACACATCTCTGTTTGTAAGCCACTTAGTCTGTGGTATTTTGTTATAGCAACCTTAGAAGACTAACACAGGCTGTATCTGAGAAGGTAAAATAAAAAAGAGTGGAGCTCACAAAAGAACTGGTTGGTTTTCTAGTAAAAGTGGAACAGAGTAGAGAGAATACAAACTATTCAGGGTCTTGCAGAGTGAAAAGGCAACATTTTCTTGACTTTGAAGAATAAAAGGTAAGCTTGAGTATGCCTTAAGAGAGAAATGATTCATTTCTAAAAATCAACTTTATTTACAAACAGAATTCCTGTATTTTAAGTATGCAATTTGGTAAGTTTGGGCAACTATATTTAGCCAGTCAAAACATAGAATATTTTTATCTCCCCAAAAGGTTTCCCTCACATCACTGCCCGATCTCTCCCTACTCCTGGCCCCACTCAGCAGCTGAACTGCTTTCTCTGCTAAATATCTGACGGTGCCTGCCGTCGAAGTCAAACAGTCTGAAGGGGAGGCGTGGAGCTGAATAAATGTGCAACTCACTCTGAGAGGACACCCAGTCAAGCCGGAACGCAACATATAGCCTTTATTCTCTTTTTATACACACTCAGAAGGGGCAGGTTAACCAGGGATCAGGAAACATGTGCTTGAGTGTTGACATACTTTTTTACAAAACAAGCAGACTCTGTCCTCAGGATAGATTCTATCTCAGCACACCCAGACTCAACATCTAGGACTTGTTATTATTCTTAGCAAACTCCCTTATCCCTGACTGTTCTTTCACCCCAACCTCTCATCTGTCCTCTCTCAGTTCCCTTCAGGTTTCAGCCGTCCCCAACATCTCCCCCTTTTTTCTTTAATAAAACAACCAGCCCAACTCCGACTGGGTCAAGGTATGTGCCTGTCTTAGGTTGTATGGTTGAAGTAAATCCTTACCCGTCATGGGGTGATAGTCCTCTGTCGACCACTCCCTGTCTTAGGTTGGTATTTACAATTCAACCATATCTTACCCTTCATTGGCTACCATACTTGACTTTAGAACTTATGATTTACAAGTGAGGGGGGCCGTCTGCAATTTCAAATGATGCAGGTCTCTTAAGGCTTGTTGGATGAGTTTCCACATGCTGCGAAGGACGCAAGGCCCCAGTAACAGCAATAGAAGACGTAAAATGCCTAGGGTTCAGAGAGGTGTGACTGTGCCAGAGACTATTCAGGGGCTCTTTGAACATGTCTTTTATCTGATCTAATATATCAGATGCAGTTTTGGCTGCAAATAAGATATGATTTAAATGGTTCTGTGGTGACTGGGGATAGAACTCCCCCTTTTTTGTTTTTTCCAATTGAGCTTTAAGGGTGCCATGGGCACGTTTCACAATGCCTTGGCCTTGTGGATTATATGGTATCCCAGTTTTGTGTGAAATATGCATTACATGGCTGAGATCGAACATGTCGAAAGACAGACATAACTTGAATATATATATATAGGTTTTAACAAACTACTAGTTAAATTGCATACACACATTAACAGAATAGGAATACAGATACATAACAAAGGCAGACTTAAAATTACTAGTTATATCTCATGAAATTAAGAAAACTAGTTAGATAGCTTAGGCATTTGTAAAAACTTATTGACAATATGATGGATATCCTCTAATTGATTTTGGGTAGTTTGAGAAAAAGCAGACAAATTGAAACAGCACATTCTTGGAAATTGTTCACATCCTACATGTTCTTTTAACAGCAGAGAGTCTATAGCAGAGCGATTCTGAAGCACTGCAGTTCGCACTTCTCCCAGTTCTTGGTTGAATTCAGATAATATAGAAGCAGTCAAATTTGTTGTTTTGCTATATGCACAGGCCAGCTTAGATATCTCTTCCTGCATTCCAGTGACAAGTCCAGGAATGGGCAGGAGGAATGCAGCTGCAACTGCAACAGCGGCAGGCTCTGCAAGTTTCAAGTTTCATGACAATCAGATGGCAGAGCTCGGAGAAGCCTCTTGCGCTTATATCCAGGATGTAGAGCAGGAAGAATGCGTCCCACCCCACAAACACCTCGATAGTGTGGAGAAAGGGCTTGATATGTTTCGTTATCACACAAAAATACCTAACTGTTTGGGAGTCTATATCTAGAAGACTATTTTACATTGACTGTAGAATTACAGTAAGAGGGTACATGAGTACCATCAATACGTACACAATCAGTGATTATAGTAGTTCTAACAGGTAAATTTAATTGGGCATCAGGAGTAAGCGTCTTCGGGGAAAGAGTGATATTTCTGTAACATAAAACATTCAGTACTAAAGTTTGGCATCATTCCCTTTGACAGTGCTCTCCAGGCAAATATATATCGGGGAAATACGCCAAATTAGTCAAATATTTTCCTTGATGAGGAGAAGAAATTCCTCTGACATGTTCCAGGGGCCCTCTGGAAAATATCAGAGTTAATTAGAGGTAAAAAAACTTTTTTAAATTTGGTCTTGGGAAGTTGTCAAAAGTTTTTAAGGCACTCGCCTAAATAGAATTATAGTTATTAAATAACACTCGTTATTTAACTAGAATGACAACAAGAAAGTCCAATTCTCTTATTAAAACATACATTCTTTAGCACACACAAATGTTTTCCTTATTATATTAAGTTATAAGCTGTATAAGCAGAAGGTTATACAGCTAACAACACCTAGCCTAGTCCTCCAATATTAAGATCCACCTTTCCAAACACTCAGACAACTCATTGAGACTTCAAGCATAAGAGACTGCTTTAATAACTAATTAGAAAACTTTCTGCAATCTTTCAACATTAAAGGTAGAGCAATAAACTT